ACTGACAGGTCTCATGACTAATGACTCAACAGTTAGCTGTTTGGGGGCAGCCCTAAAATTAATGTGCAGAAACATACCACCATTGGAGCGATCAACCCAGCTGAAAGTGATGGCTCCATCTTTGCTGCTCTCGCTAAAGCGAAGCAGGAAGGTCCCGTTCTGTCTTTCCTGCAGAAGGACCCATGTTCTCTCCCTGCTCACGAAGCCCATGATGTACCTGAAAACCCATGTACACAATATAACAAGGCTTTGTCACTGTGCTTCCTAGTTAACTAATCTCAAACAGTAATACTCAGAAGAGTGGATCACTGTCTCATTATTAATGTGGTAATTATTTGTGGATGATACAATGAAACTCTGACAAGATCATTTATGATGCGTCTTACCCATCACGCCAAAGATCTACCAAGTGCCTTTTGATCAAATCCAAAATTCCATCAATCCACATCCAGGTACTTTCATTCTGGCACAAAGAAAAGAAAATGTCAACAGGTAAAGGGTTTATTACGCCCCATAGGCTGTACAAACTGTGGAACTCGCAGCATGACAAGATTCCTCCTCTACTCTCACCTTGGAGAACTTGCTCCATTGAACGAAACCATCAGGATCATCTGTGAAGAAATCACCACTTAAATAACAAATGTCATGAAAATAACGAACTCTGAAACTAATACATCATCCATCTATACAAACAATGAGTGCAGGATTTATTTCAAGAACCATTAGTACATTAAAAACATGATCACTGACCGACTCCTTTGTTTGGAATCCTTACATTATTAATATGTACAGTCACCTGTCACTGCGCCCAGCCTTCAAACAGTAAACCCACAACATGTTGTTACTCAGCGGTTTTTGAACGGGTGTTGCCCCCTCAACCTCCCCGATGGCATGGACCGATTTACTGGAGGGACTGGCCAAACACTCACCCACTATTTTGTCTTTCAGCATGGAAAGCTGGTTTTCATCCAGTTCTCGCTGGCCAACGGACAAAAACTGCCAGCTCAGAACCTGGGACAGCTTCTCCCAGTGGAGTGGAGGAGGGTTGACAAACAAGGACAGGTTCTACAGAACATTAGATTTGAATACAAAAGACATTAACCTGCTGTCCTTCACAAGGACGCGACTATGACCATGGTTTTAAAAGTACACGAGTGTGAGATGGCTTTACCCATGGTTCGCTGGTGGACAGCATGTTGCACCACATGACAGAGGCCCAGGCACTGG